ACCCCGAAGGACTAGGGACAAATCATGAGTCCATGGTTCCCATGTAGTACTAACGTCGGCCTCACAAAGGTGACTCCGCTGGACTTCGAGTGGGCACACGTAGATCACCGTGGGCAGCCTAGCACTTGCCAGTGTGGAGCAGCAGCACAAGTCAGGCAGACTTTCATCTGAAGCATCATGGTCTGTCGTGGTTGGTGATGCTTTAGGTTTTTTAAAGAAGCCTAGACACAGAATCATTGTTATCATGCCGCTGCCAGAAAGCCCAAGCCACCTGCCACTGTCATCATCATTCCTCTCCCTTTCCTCGTTCTTTCTCGTCGGACATGTCGTCCTCCGGTTCCGCTGACCGAGCAGGACTTCCCCATGGACTCCCGTTTTTTCTTCGCCGTTCCACCGACCCGCAGGACGAGGTCATATTCGATTTTCGTGCGATGGACTATTACCTCGCGTCGGTCTGTGGGATGGAAGACCCAAGTACCATCCTGCAGCGTAATCTCGATTATTGCGAGCAGCTGCCGTCGAACTGTTTGGACTGCCTTCCGCCGGACATTGACTCGCAGGAGGATTTGCAGTGCTTCCTCGCCGATCTGAGCCTTGCGCAGGCATATTATTTCCGCACTGGACAACCCGACAGGATGCCCGAATGGCGCACCGAATGGCTCTCGACTGTCTTTGTACCCGAACACTCGCCGTACGACACGCAGCAGAAATGGGCGGACAGGCTCGTTACACCCATGTTGGTTGTAGCGTGGTTTCTATGAAGGTGCATGCTTTTAAAGCCATATAATATTATAATACATTGATTATTTTCCACAGAGCACATCCCGTAGGCTTTGGTCTTGGCTTGCTGCAACCGATGGACTGCTGTACAAGCGGCCCCCTGCCTTCGCGACACGGACTCCTCGGACGGTGAGTGAGAGAGACTTCTAGATTTTAATAGTTTGTGTTTCTGATAATTGAATTGTTCCCTAGCAGGAAGGACGACGGCTGGCAGATACTCGTCGAACACATGCAGGGCGATAAAATGTTGGAGTGTGGCACTCAGCTATGACATCAGCGCACTCAGTCATTCAAGCATTCCAGTACTTGCACTTGTGTGTGTGAGTGGTTAAACACGCAGCACCCACTGCCGGTCCAGGCTCTGCTTCAAGCAGATACTCGGGGCGGCCCAGCGCAGGACAGACAACGCCCTCTCCGCCGGACTCCATTCCCCGCTGTTCGGTTCCCGACACCCGCAATCGTGGATGGTCGAGATGCTGAACCGCGACTGGGAGGCCTACCCGGTGGCCGTCCCCGTTCCCTGGCAGGGCCACATGTACTACGCGGTGTCGTCGCACAACGCGTCGGACTTGTACTTCTGCATCACGAAGGGCCCCGACGGACGTGCAACAGCAGAACCAGTAAGATTTTTGTTGGTAAACCTTGTAGTATAACTGAAATACTTACCAAGTCGACAAATTTTCGGACATCGCTGGTTCAGGTGACACGATCGACTTTCAGTGCATCGGACTGTTTCTCAAGAAACTCGAACTTGGACCGGGCTCGTGGAACTAGCCGCAGTTCGTTCAAGCACGACGTACCCGCCGGCCAGTCTCCATTTGGAGTTCTGGAGCAGTTCGCTCTCGCCGGCCAGTCTCGAAAGTGACACGTTTTCTGCACTCGGAGTTCAGATCAGTTCGCTCTCGCCGTTCAAAAGAGTTGTCCTGGCACACTTTACATTTGCCGGATGTTAGTTCCTATCGCACTGTTTGCTGACTTAAACTTTTGCGCTTCAGGTTGCTGACATGGACTGGCACCTCTTTGGCGGGGTCCTCGGAGTTCTGGTGCTGCACAGTTTGTGACGATTTGCATCGGCACAGTTGCTGTGTTCTTTCCTGTCACACTCGGAAGCGACAAGTGCTTGAACCACCCGCAGTCACCAGTCACTCGTACTAGGTTTGTCATGTGCTTCATGCATTGCAATTGAGGTCGGTCACTCCTCGTTCGGTTCGCAGGGCACGGCCACACGGCAGGACGAGGACTAAGTCAGGGGTCATGCTTTCGGATTGTGACAAGGCATTCCGCGGACTCTGAGGTAAGTTAGGATCCACCTGCAGCAGACATGGAGCAATTGCCGTAGACATAAAGAGTTAAAGGCCTTTGAGCAATTGGAGTCCGGTTTGTTGCCTGGGTTGCCATTTCAGCATTTCAAGCATCGAGTGCATAGAATCGAGGGTGAGCGGTAAATTTTAGTGTTGGGCGTTACACATTAGATTTGTTGTTTGTGGCTGTGAATCATTAAGGTTAGTTCTGGCCTATTCATTGCGGGTGGTGTCTCCTTAACTAGATCTACTTACAGTGCATGGTATAAACCGATTTCACTTCTGGAAGTTCACCATACTTGTCCACAGAGGGGCTTCGGGTGTGGCTTGATTCAGGAAAATAATCATGAGGTGTACAACTCAGTACTACGACTACTACCACGACTAGTACAAGTACTACTAGCATTGGTACTGTACTACTACTACTACTACTACTACTACTACTACTACTACTACTACTACTACTACTACTACTACTACTACTACTACTACTACTACTACTACTACTACTACTACTACTACTACTACTACTACTACTACTACTACTACTACTACTAGTACTACTACTACTACTACTACTACTACTACTACTACTACTACTACTACTACTACTACTACTACTACTACTACTACTACTACTACTACTACTACTACTACTACTACTACTACTACTACTACTACTACTACTACTACTACTACTACTACTACTACTACTACTACTACTACTAGTACTAGTAGTACTACTACTAGTACTACTACTACTACTAGCTAGCCAGCTAGCTAGCTAGCTAGCTAGTACTACTATTACTTCTGCTAGCACTACTACGACTACTACTGCTACTTCTAGTACTACTACTACTACTACTAGCTAACCAGTACTACTGCTACTACTACTACTACTATTTCGACTAGTACTACTACTACTACTACTACTACTACTACGACTAGTACTAGTACTAGTACTACTACTACGACTACTACTACTACTACTACTACTACTACTACTACTACTACTACTACTACTACTAGTACACTACTACTACTACTAGTACTACTACTACTACTACTACTAATACTTCTACTTCAACTAATAGGGACTGCAATTTCGGCCTACTGGTTTTTCCTTTCTTTAATGAGTAGTGGTACTGCTGCTAGTACTACTCTTCGCAATCTGGATTAGTATTGCTACGAGTAATTACTAGACCAGTAGTCAACCAGCTGGAGGAAGGCGCTCTTGCAATCGCTGTTGTCCTGTTCATATGGAGGACACGGACTCCATTGGCCGGCATCGCTGCCGCTGAGCCTTCTCGTTTCAGGCACTGTGCTCTCGTGCGGTCTACGCTTTGTGTCTTGCTTGCCATGTTCGTCCAGTCACAATGCACTGTGAGACCACCCAGCAGCAGGGCTTGATTGATTGTTTGGTTTTCCGAAGCCGTCCTGCCTGTGCGTTGAGACTTCGTGCAGTCTTATCATCCTTCCCCGTCGTTCTTCCTCGACGGACCTTGCCCAGCATGCCTCGTGATGCCGGCCCCCGCAAGCCCACCCTCAAGCAGCTGGCGAAGCAGAAAGCGAAGGACATCAAGACCCGGGAGCGCAACGAGGCGACGTTCGCATCCGCCGTTCAGCACTCCAAAAGCACCATACTCGACGTGGACATGCGGTTCATTCAAGACACGCTGACCCAGAACCCGACTTGGATTTCTCCACTCGCTGGTCTGATCCGCTCGGGCTCGTTGAATGGTCTTCTGAAGGACGTTGCCAAGAAGGAGGAGACCGGTGGACTGAGATGGAAGGGCAAGTGCACCAAATGGGGCAGTTTGCCGCTTGAGATGGCGAGCTTAATGCTCAAGCATTGCGGTGTGGAGCTCGCGGAGGACGTACAGAAGGACGAACCCGTCGTACGGACCCTCTTCGAGATCCAGTTCTGGGCAGCCAAGTCGGCGTCCTTGCCATCTCGTGCGGACATTCGCTATCAGTCCACGTTGGTCAAGTTAGCGAGGGCCCGCATGGAGGACGTTGGTCGCAACTACATAGCTGCGGTGAACTCGGCGGAGGCTATCAGTGTTGACCGGGACAGGTACAACATCTGGTCACTTAGAACAACACGTTGTACTGCCACGTCTTTGCCACACAAGATGGACACCCTCGCCGTTCCCGCTCGGAGTTCGTACCCAACGAGTCGTACCTCAGCCACGAGCTTCCTACTCTCCCGGACAACAAGACGTGGCAATTGGACGACCCTTTTGCGGTGGACTGTGTCATTTCAGATGGACAGCATAACTCGTTGTTCAGTTTTGAATGCGCGAGTTTCTTTCCTACTTTGCCGGACATGAAGGCCAAGTGGACCTTCGACTTGTCGTCGGACGCAGACACCACGGCTGGCCTCGGCGACAATGTGCCGCAGGGCACCCCGTCGGTCCGGAGTGCATAATGCACTCTCTCCTGGTAGTTCAGTGTGTCTTGAGTTTGGGGTTGACTTTACTCGTTGTTCTGTCCAGTTTGTTCACTCGAAAAGCACAATGTCGTTCGCCTCGCCGTTCGACCCATTGTGTCTGAGTGAGTGGACAGGCACGAGTTTCACTGGGGCCGTGAAGCCGGCAACTTGCAAGCTGCATAAAAGAATACGTGCGATGAATGGCTGACTGCAATAATGACTTCCTTGCGGTGCCTTGCAGTATGTGCTACATACATGTTGCAGAAGAACACAGACCCATGACACGTGGTGTGAGCACTGCCTTGCGACATCAGCGATTCGTTGCCGCTGTCTTTGGGCTTCCAGAATAAAAGCTGCATGCCTGCAGAGCCTCCCTTTCTCTTGGTTTGGCAGATGTCACATATACTTCCTGGGACATAGCCTATAAAGTTTTGCTACATTCGTTCACCAGAAACAGACTGTAGAATTGATCCACTCGCTATCAGATGCTGGAGCCCGCTTCTGCCGATGGACCCTCTTCTTCAGGACCTCCAGCTTTTTTCAGCTCTGCGTCGGACAAGCGTCGGACAGTTGCATTTTGCATTCCCTGCGGGACACACGGAAGCCTCAAGGGCGAGAGCTACAAGTTCAAAGAGCCGCAGACCAAGGTAACGGATGGACATCGTTTTTGGCACATGCGTTGGTTTGTGGACTTCCTCGGAGGACACGAGTCTCGAAATTTCCTCGCAGGCAGTGTGTCGACGTTCAGGAACAAGCTCTTCACGATTGCATGGCCCTGCTGGACAGACACGGAGGACGCTCTGAAAAAAGAGATCGAGTCGCACTTTCTCCAGAGTTCGTTCTCCCTCCTCAAGCAGCAGGAGCACGCTGCAAACGCCGAGAAGAAGGGCACCAAACGAAAGGCATCCTCGCAGCAGATGCAGGACGACATGGAGGACGACAACGAGCAAGCGGACAATGAGGAGCACACGGGTGACCAGATGGAAGAGGTAGCAGCTGGACGAAGCACACGTTGTACAGAGTTTGCCACGTCGAGCTTTGCAACGATTGTTCTTTTGCATCAATGGCACCAGGGTATGCGCAAAGATGCCAAATGGAAGAAGCCGGCAGAGGAGGTATCCAAGCTGGCCGGGGAGTTGCTTCAAGGCCTCGCTTCCTTGTTCCTGCAGACCCCGCAGGACTTCTCATTCACGTGGGACGGAAACACTCTGGTGCTGCCGTTCAAAGGAGGTTCGCTGGACGTGGACGAGGTTGTACTGCAAAACAGTTTACTTGCTAAAGTACTACACCGCGATCGTTCCCGATTCATGGACGTGCTGCAGGATGTGAATGTGGACTGCACCCGTCGGACAATTGGAGACACTCGCAAGTCATCTAGTTTGAGGACGAAGTACTACTTGTTGGCGGCTTTGGCACGTGCCATGGATTCGTCGGACGACACGCATTCCTGCTGGACATCTTTGAATGTGAAGCAAGTGATGCAGCTTAGGAGAGAGGTTTCGATTCGAGGGTTTGGAGGGTTTGAAGGGTTTGGAGGGTTCCGGGGTTTTAAGATGTAGGGTTGTGTCTTGAAAGCCCGAAAATTGATATTCCCCCTGTTGTTTCAGGAGCACCTCCGGATATCGTCGGTCGTCCACGAGTTTTCGACAAGAGGTTGCGAGTTCATCGAATGCCACACGCAGGACACTTACCTCCACATTGCAAGGACATGCGTTCACCGTGCAGGACAGCAGCGAACAGCAGGACGAACAAAAGATCAAGAAGCACGCTTCTATGGACGCACACAGGCTAGCACGCATGGAGCGATACGCCTATGTCACGCAGGGCAAGTCAGATTTCCTCTCGACGGACATTTTGTGCGTGGTGGCAGATGCAGTGCACGTGGGAAGTGACGATTGGCTGAACATCATGGTGTACAACCACACGACGGACAAAGTTTGGGTCTGCCCGCCGCAGGCGCTTTTTTTTTGTTAAGCAACACATATTTCTGAGGCGTTTTAGGCAAGAGGCGAGGTACGTCAGAGCCTTGCTTAAGTTGACCTTTTTGGGTGCCGTTTTCGTAGCTTCTGGGTCCGACCAAAATCGTTTTTCCGAGGGGAGGTACACGTATCCCCGCTCAGGCTCGGTTTGGGGCGGAGTCTTTCTATTGTATTTTATATAAAGATAGGTACACGTATCCCCGCTGACCCCTGGGTTTCGGGATTGGCCTGATAAAGGCTCCCGGCCGCCCTTCTACTGATGAGTAGGTACGCACAGCCTTGCTTAAGTTGACCGGGTCCCGGGTGGAGGCCGAGGAACGCATTTCGGCCACATTTTGGCTGCATTTCGGCCCCCAAAAAGGTACGCCAGATCCCCGCTTAAGTTGACCGGCCGGTCCCCCAAAAAAGGGCCCCTGGGTGATTATATGGTAACAACCTCTGTCGTTTGTTTTGCATGCTGTTGCTGACAAGCTCTTCCTCTAAGCTTTGCTTCACATTTTTCTCTGTGTAGTCAGACCACGCAGCAGGTCCAGAAATCGTCCGTCTTGTCGGCTGAGCAGTGGAAAGCTATGTGGAACAAGGCTTCCAAGAAGTTCCTCGGGATCGAGAAACCCGTTGGACCTGGTCATGCGGAGGACCGGCTGGCCACACTGTCTTGGATGCAGGACATAAACCACGGCTTGCGACCCATTGGCTGGACTTTTGGCTGCTGCCAGAGCACGCCGGCCGGCCCCGCGGAGGACGACACGAAGGCTAAACGTGCACCGATCATGATTTTGTGCACCGACCAAGAAGCAACACAGCTGGCGGCTGTCTCCTTCTTGAGGAACAAAAAGAGCCTCTGGATCGAACACGTCTCGGACCCCGCCCACAGGTCGCACAACGACGTGGCTTTGGCCTTGTCGGCCGCTGGACTCCTGAAGTTCTGCACATGGTGCATCTCGCTGTACAACATCAGGTATGGACCCTGGCAGAAGGGCTCGTGGGCGTTGAAGATCCAGCAAGCCGCAAATCGCATGAAGGACAACATGGACCCCTCGGACCCGATATTGCTCCTTTTCTTCCCGGACATTCTGCTGGACGCCGGCCTCTCCCCCCTGGACGACAACACGGAGGAGAAACGCAGGTCGTTTTTGCAGACATTACCCGACATGGACTGCATCCGCATCAAGGGCACGAAGGCCAGCAAGAGTCGGTTCAATTCCCTGACGACGGCCCACAGCGCGCTGGACAAAGAGTGGTCGGTCTTGGCTTTAGTTCTCACGGTGGTCTGCTTGGAGCACAACTGGGCAGTTTCCACTAAGGACCTCTTCTCGCAGGACAGCAACCAGGCCCGTGCCTCGGTTCCATATGGTGGAAGCAAGTCTTCTGCCATACAGGAGGCCAAGCAAGGCATGGACCAGGAGCGGAAGGGCAGCGCGAACAGTCTACACTTAATGACGAAGTTCGTGATCTCGCAGGACAACAAGACGACAGCCAGGATGATGTTCCAGGTCTTGCAACCCGAAGAGCTTCGTTGTTCGCTCATGCTCAAGCAGCTGCGTTCCAAAGGCATGACGAAGGACTACTACTCTGGCTGGGCACACTGGTCTTGGATGAGCACTGCAAAGGACCACGTCAGGACTTTGTCGAATTTGGAAGGTTTATCTCGTGTCGGCCTCGACCTGACACTGGCACGCGCACAACCCCCGGAGGAGACAGAGCTTGTCTGGCAGGACTCGCTCGCAGGCCAAATGACGCAGTTGACACTACAGATCCTGCGGCTGCGGGCCGGGGGGCACAGCTGTACCATACTGGAGGTTTCGGTGCGACCAGGCAGGACTAGTCCATGCTGAAGAGCAGTTCCGTCGGGCAAGCTTGGATTTTTTCAAAGAGATGCAGTCTTGTATCCAGGACACGCACAGTGGTGGTTCTCGTATGGCAAAAAAATTGCTCGAAGGTCATTTCTCCCAAGGGCCGATTAGTCGGTACATCCTCGCCGATCTTTGCACTACCCGGTTTCAGAGCCTTACGGAGGACGTTGCACACGTATTGACCAGCATTTGGTCGGGCCTCTTGAACACGAAGATCATCGAAGACTGTAATAAAGTCCAGCGCGAGGCCGAGCAACGACATTCGTCTTCGAAGGACTTGGGTCGTTTGGACGGATGGAAGGCTGTGACCCAACAGGCCGTGGTCAAGATGTACGAGAGGGTGGAGGCACTGTCAACGGAGCTCTACCACACGCCGGCAGCGTTTGACGTGGCCAAACTTTTCTGCAAAGACACCGAGAAGAAGAAGATTCAAGCAGTTCGTCGTCGTTCCGATTCGTCGGTCAGCACGCAGGTCAGTGCCTCGGAGGTGCAGGAAGCACAGCTTCTTGCAGACGTGACGAAGACGAGGGACTGGGTCTCCCACACCCACGCCGAGGAACAGGAGGTTTTGGCTGCCTTCAGTTTACTGATGAAGGCGTGGAGGGCCAAGCGATGGTCGCTTTGTGAAGAAGGTTGGTGCTCTGGACTTTTGCCCGAAGGAAATGTTGTACTGGCAGGTGCAGACCCGTTGTTCATCGTTCGGACATACCGTTTGGCTGCACTCGCATGGCCCGGCAAGATCGTTAAGGACAAGGACCATGAGTTTTTCGAATTCAACATGGGCGTTCGGTCTCTCTTTTGGATGCACAGCACATCTTTGGACTTGGAAGTGTTGCGGCTGCGAGTTGTTTCACCTCTGCGTGCCTCGGCTGCAGTACAGTTGAACATTGTCAGCCCGACACGGACATTCTCTACATATATATTCGTCCTATAATGAGTGACGATGATTGATTGACACGGAAGGCTTCTCCGGTTCAGATTGTATGTTTCGGCCCGGGGGGGGGGTAGCACTGAAGCTATTTTTTATGGGTTTCTGAACAACTCAGGCGATTCGACAGTCAAGGATTCGAAGTTTCACAGAGTTAGGTTGAGTAGCCCAGGATGGCACGTGCGTCGAGGGTTTGGGTATTGACGAAAGGAGGGTGTGGTTGTGTGTACTGCTACCACTTTTTTGGCCATACTACTAGTGCTAGTACTAGTGCTAGCAGTAGTATTAGTAGTAGTAGTAGTAGTAGTACTAGTAGTACTAGTACTAGTAGTAGTAATACTACTACTACTAGGACTGTTGCTGAGATTCCTTCTACTACTGTAAACTACTGCGATTGCTTGTAGTAGTAGTACTACTACTACAAGTACTACTAGTAGTAGTAGTAGTAGTAGTACTACTACTACTACTACTACTACTACTACTAGTACCAGTACTACTACTCCTACTACTAGTATTACTACAACTTCTTCTACTACTACTACAACTACTACTGCTACTACTGCAACTACTAGTAGTAGTAGTAGTACTACTACTAGTAGTAGTACTACTACTACTACTACTACTAGTACTACTAGTACTATCACTACTACTACTACTACTGCTACTACTACTACTACCACTACTACTACTACTACTACTACTACTACTACTACTACTACTACTACTACTACTACTACTACTACTGCTTCTACTACTACTACTACCACTACTACTACTACTACTACTACTACTACTACTACTACTACTACTACTACTACTACTACTACTACTACCCTTTTCGAGTCTTTTTACCAGTCTTCCTAGTGATATCACCGCTTTTTACTGACCAGGCGCAAAACTTAACGATTGCGATCATTTTTTACTAAGAGTGTTGCTGCCGCTACTGCTACTGCTGAGGTCGTTCCACGCAGGGCAGCCACCTCAACAACGGCATCGTGTTTTTGGTGGACAAGAAGATGGGCACGTTGGACTTTCACGCCGAGCAGGGCTTCGCTGCCTGTTCTGAGGCTTTGTTGCGCAGGTTGTGCCAGCACATGGGTTGGACCGCCACCCAACCCAAATCAGGTGTGGACGCAGGACATCAGCTGGCTGTTGCCGCCATGCTCAACATGGACAACTCGTTGGTCGAAGAGGACGTGGTTCAACGAATCCTGGCAAGGCATCAGACTGACAAGTGGATGCCGGAGGTCGACGACAAGGACTTGGAAGCCGTCGTTCGGGACACGCTGCTCATTGGCGAGCAGGACAAGGCCCTCAAGGAGCTCAGTGCCCGTCGGTCCACGGTTTCGGCCAAAAGTCTACGACCAAGGTATGCACGATGTACAAGAACGCCGTCTCGGACCTGGACAAGGACTTTTGGAAGGCCGGACAGGACACACGCCGACGCAAGACTCAGAAGGCCGAGAAGGACAGCAAAAAGCTAAAGCAGCAGTACGACCGGGTGTACGCAAAGCTGAATGCCACGACGGACGAGCTTGTGAAGAGCATGGTTCCTGATACTGTACAGGTTTGGACGGACCCAAAGAATGGTCGTTGGAAGGTGTCGTACAAGACAGCTGTAGTCAGCATTACACGTAGTATTTCATGGACACAAGTAGGTGAAGCTGCCGCCGGTCGAGCCTGTGTAACACAAGGTTGGTCATGGGTGGAGCACCACGAAGGACGTGACCCACCCGAAAACTTGCAGGAGCGATTGACAAGGTTCGACTCCTGAGTTCACTCGGACTTGACATGCCCGTGATTGGACTTTTTCTCCTCGTAGCACATCGTCGTTCAGCATCGATGCACACATTCGTCGGGCCCAAAAGAGGATTATTCCGCTTTGCACGCGTGTTTGATCCGTGCAATTGATGCTTCTAGTCAGACTTCTGTAATGCACTGCTACGTGTGTGAGACAGTGGCGGTGATGTGGGTTCAAGTTCAGGAGCATGTCGTCCATGCATTGAGCACGTATTTTAAGTAGGCCAGACATGTACTGATATGGCGAGCCAACGCGCCCTCACTCACCTTCTGTGTAACTTTCCCCACGGACACACAAGATAATGAGTAGTCATGTAGCGCAACTGGGAATTGTACCAGAAATGTTTGTACTTGAAACCTAGGTTGTTATTCTCGGTGGGAGTCCATGAGAATTCAGTTTTGTTGAAATAAATGGAACGGAAAGAGTCTCTGTACATGTCTCGACTCGTGGTTCCATCCTCGAAGTATTACTCGTGCCATGGTGGCCCGGCCGAAGTTACAGGAGGTGGGACTGTCACGACGACCCTCGGCATACGCGCTGTTCATGCAGGACATGTGCAAGGACTCTGTGGACCCCAAATCTCGTCGTCGACTGTCCCGGAAAACATCACTTCGCGGTTCAATACATTATCTGCACAAGTGGCTTCTTGGCTGCAAAATCAATATAGATTAGTCACACTGACACATGTGCCCCTTGCCTAGAACCCCAAGTCATCTGAAGCCACGGGAAGTAAAATCTTGGCAATTCTGGTCAGGAACCCGAATATGCCATCTTAGCTACGTACCAAAGTTATTTACTTCAGACATAATTAATAAGATGTAGCTAAAAGTCCTACTACAAGTCATGTTACTTTTTACTCGGGGATTACCTTTTCACCCAATCGTCCAGTAAAATTCCTCTGTTCCCCGAGGCACAACCGAAAGGACCTCCGTGACGAGTACACACGCAAGGCCAGGCAGGGCTACCAGGAGAATCGGGTCCAACGCGAAGAATTTCGACAGGCCAAACACACGGAAGTTCACCCCGCTTCGTTCATGGACAGAGCACTGCCGGACGTCGCAGAGTCGCAGGACTTCGACGGTCGTGGCATTTTTCGCTACACGGCCGAGGACCCACTGGTGCAGGAGAAACATATGGGTCGCGGCACGTACGGGGAGATTTTCGCTTGCACGTACCAGGGCCTGAAGTTAGCCTTGAAAGTGGCCGTTCGCACGCCGGACAGGGAGACTGCACTGTTGGACGTGCACCAAGACGGTCTCGAAAAGACGTGGGACTTGACCCGTGAGTTCACTCTTTTGAGCCAGATAGGACCTCATCCGAATGTTCTGCGACTCTATGCCTTGCTGACATCCTCGACTGGGCACACGGGAATTCTAATGGAGCGGGCTTCCTGCGACCTCTTGAAGGCCACACGGGACTTGAAGACGGACGACCTTCA